TTTTTTTTTTTTTGCTTTTCTTCTAAATATAAAACACATAGATGACAAAAGCTCTTCTACTATTAAAGCCCTTCAGGGAAAAACTCCTCAGACCTCACGGAGACAGAGGGCCTAGCCTGAGCCCTCACTGACCTGTTAGAAAACATCACACCCAGAAGCGCGTTCAGATTTCGAGGGTCTGTGACGCTGTCGTCAGTGTCTAAGGCGACACGAGATGCCAGCTTTTAATCTTTCTGACCCGTAAACTCAGATCAGATCACTGCCATTTACATCTGAGCATCTCCCGAGGCATCTACTCCTGAGGCATCTACTGGGCCAGGTGAGGGGGCCCGGCAGGGGACGGCCCGTGGCCACGACACCAGGCTGCATCATGGGCTCCAAAGGGCTGGGACCCGGGGTCTGGGACACGGTGGTGGGGGGGGGGGGGGGGGGGCGGCTGTCCCCACCGTGGACGCCGATTTTGCTGAGGGTGTGGCTTTGCTGTGCCCTCAAAAATGTCAGCCGATGACATTTTATCATGTTGGCCGTACGTGCAAGGACCCCTCGTCTGCAGATACTAAGATAGTAACTCTGTGCACACATTTGCTCTTAACGGATCAGTGTTCAGTGAGGGTCCGTTCGTGTAAGGCACTTTGGTCACAAACGCACCTCCGATCCCTCTCCTCTCTCCTCCGTGCAGGGCGGGTTCATACGTGAATCAAAGCGCAACCCTGGCCTGGAACGTGCTAGAACACAGGAGGTTGACGCGCCTGTTAAGTGACGCAAGAAAAGGAGCCCCGCCAGGCGGGTTTGTTTGATCACGTCCTCTGCGGCCTCTCCTTCTGTAGGTCACTGCTAACACACTCAACCCCTGACGTAACTTTGTCTCCTACTCGGCGCAAATTGCTTTGCAGAACTGGTCTCTTTGTGTCGCTGCTTTCTGGCGGTGATTCCCGGCCAGAGTCGGCCCTCGGCGACGCCTGTTGACCCGAGCGTCAGGCGGGAAGACTGCCGTGGCACCAACCAGCGCTCACGTCCTGCCCACGACGTGGCAGCCGCTATGCTAACCGCCCTCGGGGCTTGGCGATTCCAAGGAAGACAGTACGACCCCGATTACAGACGAGGAAGAGGTTCGCAGCAGCTAAGAAACGAGTCTCAAGTTGCACGGTAACGGCCAACAGAGCAAGTGCCGGTCGGGGCACGGCCGTCCCCAACCCGGGACTGTGCCGCTGGAGCACAAAGGAAGGAGCTGACCCCGTTTTCAGGCTAGGGGCGGCTTCCCAGGGGTGGTGTGTTCGCCGGCTGGGCACCCGGGGTGGGGACGGCAGGCGGGGGCAGCCCAGCCCACCCGTCACTGAGGGCCGCCCTCCCTTGGCCGGGGCCCCCGGGCGGCTACGTACAGGTCAGCACTGCCGGAGAGCGGTTCTTGTGTGCGTTCTCCGCCCTCTGGGCCACGAGCGAGCTGTTGGGCTCCGCCTGGTAGGCACACAGCGCCTCCCACTCCTTCTCCAGGCGGTTCTTGTTCTTCAGGTGGTCCTCCATGTAGGCCTGGAGCGGAAAACACAGAGTCAGGGAGGCGTCGTGACACCCAAGGGGCCAATGGACGGTGCAGCCCACACGTCCCCTGCGGGCACGCGTGAAGAAGCCGGTTCCTACCGGATCCAGGAAGAACACGTGTTCTGCGGGTCGGTTCCCGGGGGCTCAAAATGTGCTCGCTCCGGGCGCGGAGCCTGGGCATCAGGGACACTTGGATAATGACGGGGGGCCCTGTCCGCTATTATGAACTGACCGGGGAGACAGAACTGCACACGTAGGGCCAGACCTGGTCACCTGACCAAAAGCTGGAGTAGATAACGTGTCCGGACAGAAGCCATTTTCCTTGTAACTGGCCCACTTTTCTGGATCCAGTGGGTGTGATGCAGAAGATACTGGCTGCTCTGATGCGTGAAACGTCACAGAGCTTGTGGCGGTAAAAACACAGAAAACGACACAGAGCCTGTAGCGGGAAAAACACAGACCCGAAGCGATGGAAGCAGACATCTTGACCTTCGGCTGCTTGGCTCTAAGTTTTCCGGGCACCTGCTTGTCGTCAGCGATCGCTAGACGTGGACGGGGAAATGCCTCCGGAACATTCCCTCCCACAAAGACAACCACAGGGGCCAGCATCTCACCAATCTAGGTAGTGGTGAAACGACCGTGATTTTGAGGAAAAGCATTGCAAATGACCGAACCCCAGCTGCTTTGTCGTGCCCGAAGGAAAGAGGGTCGCACCTGTAACATCTTGTTTGTGGCTCTTCAGTGTGTTGTGTGTGGACACACATGTTCAGCTAGTCCCATCAACAAAATAAAACACGAGCACGCAGGTCCGGGTCTCTAGTGGTCAGGCACCCCAACGTCTCCCCAAGGATTGGCACCCTGCCAGCCCCCACCGTCCTGTCACCCCAAGTGAGCACCCAGCTCAGGCCCCCACAAGGACCAGGACGGGCCTGCTCCATGTCTCTGCCCCGGCCAGCTGCTCGGGGCTCAAGGGGCCCGAGGAGAAGGAAGGGAGCTCAAGCCAGTCCTGCTGGGTCCTCCTTCCTCTTATCACAGTTTGGACTCGCGTGGACTCGAGTCGTTTTGTTATTCACTCAACAGGCACCTACTGTGTCCATGTTGGTCTACAAACCACGGAAAGCCGGTGCCTCGGTGGGTGCTGTGGGAGGGAAGGCATCACCTTCAGGGTCTGCCTGGCCCGGGGAGGTGGGGGGCAGCGATGGGCTGTGACCAGAAGCTGGGACCTGGGTTATGACTGTCACATATCTTCCGTGGCCCCTGCTGAGGCCACTGAGGGAACCAGCTGACAGCCTTCTGTGCAGATGACGGAGAACCGCACGAACCACACAGTGGGTGGACCCTCCCTTGACACGCCCCGGACCCTCCTTGCCAGGGCCTGACTCTGGGACCCCCACCCAGTCCCTCCAGTTTCCTCGCATGGGGAGGAAGCGAATTTAAGTGGCCCAATCCAGAAAACGTCAACTGCAAACTGCTTTTTTTGGAGACAATCATTATGGAATATCGGATGCATATTTTTGTGCCAAAGTTGTCCTAATAAGGACGTTTCAGCATGATACAATATTTAAGTTTTGTGAAATAGTCCTCTAAGAGCTAAAATATGGTGTGGTGGGGGGAGGAGTAGTTCTGGCTCACGTGTGTGGTTTCAGTGCTTCCGAACTTTCCTCAAGGTCAGATATCGTCTGCGAAACAGGCACGGGATGTTATCTCCGACCCTGCACCTGCGGCTGTTTATGTGTTTACAGTCACCTCAACTATGGGGTGTGAAGGCTGCAAGGTCAATTCAATTTCTAAACTTATGGCGAGAAATACACACCAGACTCCAGGAGGGAAGCTTGGTGGTAAGACGGAGGAGGGAGCAAAGACATGGTTTTTCTGAGAACAAAGTCTTCTAAAGTGATAACTTGATTCTATGAAAGCTGAGATAACTTTCCAGCCTCTCGGCCTGTGTGGCTTCCATAGACACTCCTGTGTCTGCCCGGTTCGGGGCATTTCAAGTTGATCTGTTCTGTTAATGTTTTTTTTTTTTCAACGTTTATTTATTTTTGGGACAGAGAGAGACAGAGCATGAACGGGGGAGGGGCAGAGAGAGAGGGAGACACAGAATCAGAAACAGGCTCCAGGCTCTGAGCCATCAGCCCAGAGCCCGACGCGGGGCTCGAACTCACGGACCACGAGATCGTGACCTGGCTGAAGTCGGACGCTTAACCGACTGCGCCACCCAGGCGCCCCATGTTCTGTTAATGTTTTTATGCAACATCACTTCTATTAAACTGATGTAATTTCCCCTTTCACGGTTTAGGAGACTTTCCTCTCTCATGTTTGGGGACAAGATGCTATTCACCTGTGACAGGAGAGGATATTTCCATGTTGTCTGTAAAATAATGTGTTTTAAACAACGGCAAAAACAAACTGCCTGTGGGGTCCTGTCTCTCAAGGGTGTGGGACGTATGAACTAGAACAGGTACAGTAACCCTCCTCAGACACAGTTGCTTTTGGGAATAACTGGGTAAATTAACATGTAATTGAGACACTGCTCATGTTCTTTCCCCCAGAGTGAGTGTGTAGCTGGAGTTGTTTGAAAAACTGACATTCTAATACTTTTGTTTTATCTGTGTGTGTGTGTCTGTACATTTTTATTACACATGTAGCATTCATAGAAAAGAAAGATAGTGAAGGTCAGCAGAATGAAAACAAATGCCACTAATAACTCCACCACCCAGAGCTAACCATAAGGCTTCGATAAGCCCCACCCTTGTTGGCATGTGCTTCGGCCGCTTTTTTTCCCCCTTGCTTATCACCATCGCTTCAGCTTTGGACAACATTTTTATTACAGGACTTTCTTACCTGAATTGAAAAGAAGCAGAGATGAAGCTTTCCTCTTATATTCAAGGAAGCCGAGGCCTAGATTTGTGAAACCATGAGCCCGAAGTCCCCAGCAGTCAGGGGCAGCACCTAAGCTTGGGTCTGCCATCTGGGATGCTGCTGTTTTGTCTTGGCTCACTGCTGCATTCTTCTCCCCGCACCTTGACCTTCACATCCACAGAACTTCTGGTCCCAGATACCATCCGTTTCAGAAATCACTAACGGAGCCTAGACTAGCACTGCCCTTTGTCTAAACTTCATTTTACTAACCTGAGCCTTTCTATCTCAATAAGACTATTTCCCAGTGTTTTGATGTCCCAGCCCATATCGCCATCACTCTCTATGCTTTGTTCACGCGGAGTCTTCTGTAATGAATCTATCCAGGCTTTACGGTCAGTGCAAATGCTCCTGTCTCCTTTGTGAGTCTGAGATGTGCCTACGGCCAGCCTCTCTGATCCTCCTTTCCTACGACTCCACCCTCTTCGTCAGACACTATTTTAAAAACTACGTCCTGTGACATTAATCACATTCTGCTTTGTGCTACAGCCTGGTGGGGGGGTGGTGTCAGGATCTTCCTCTCATGAGATCAATATTTTTGAAAATGGGACCCATGTCTCATTCACTTGGCATGTGCTTTGGGCACACAGTCAATATTTGCTGGATGATTGCTCATAACCTGGAAATTTCTAGAAGTAATTTGTGTTACAAATAAACATTTTACGTCAATGACAGCATCCAAAAAAAAATGCGTTAGAGTCTTCTGGAAGTTGGGAGAATTGCTCTTAAAGGTAACATAAGGGCTTTGGAATGGTTCATTGTATGTTTCCTCACCACCTTCTTCCTTTCTGGGTTACCCAAGCAGCATGTCTACGATCCATACCCAGTAGGCGTGGTGGCCACTGCAATGTAATGGCAGCCTTAGGAGCCTGGAGACACAGCAACGGTTGAGAAAGCTCTTCTCCCCGGGCCCCTCCTCTTCCTTCTGAGTCCAGACCCTGTGTCATCTCCCCAAGTCCTTCTTTGTCATTGTGTGAGAACTCCTGTGCTCGGGATACAACAGTGCCATCACTGGTGTGACGGGGGTGTCTTCTAGAACCTGCCGTCCCAGCTGCGAGCAGCTGCCGGTCGGGGACCCGTCTCACGCACATCACTTTACACAGCCCCCGTTCCTGGCCCTTGTGAGTGCCTCCGAATCGAAGCTTTGAGAAAGAAGCCCTGGGATACACAAAGTACTTGTGAATGGCACTAGACGGGAGCCAGGCACATGTGGGTGGGGTCCCCCACGACGGGCAGTCTGAAGAGCCAGTGCTTGGTGTTAGTTGGTTCAATTTGAAGAGCTTAGATACGTGAATTTTGATGGCTCCTGTGGTTCGTCAGGAATGTTTGGAAGCAGGTCTTTGATCTTTCCAAGCTGCTCACTGCACCCTTAGTATTTGTGGGTGACGGAGGGAGAGGTTCTGAAAGGGTTCTTGGCCGGAAGAACTCGGCATCGCATTTCCAGATTCTTGACCTCCATCGGGATTTTATTCCAGCTGATTTTAGGTGAGACCTGAGTGGGGAGCTCTCTGAACCTTCTTGAATTCTGATACTTTCCTGGGATCCAGGCTTAATGTGCTCGCAGAAAGGATAATTCCCAGATCCCACCGCTTGTGGGAAAAGGCCCGCAGGTTCCAGAAGGTGGTTTCCTGAGTTATAACCGGCACATGCTGGCTGACACCGGCCTCGGGCCACATGGCGCCAGGTGACGGTGGTCCAGCATTTCTTTTGAGTTTTTTTGCGAGGTGAGAAGGACCCCAGCTTTCATAAGCCCTATTTTGTGAGACACTCACCCCATCAGAGGTTCTCCTGTTTAATCTTCCTCTTGCGAGCCCAGCTCCCCATCTTACCCCTTCTTTTTTCTCGCTCACACTATTAGACCACGGGTAGGAAGATTACAAACACTTTCTGGGTCACAAGGACTGTGTGCCATCAGAGGACTTTTCAAACAGTTCCCTGTGTCAGACAAACTGGCCTCCACGTTTAATGGGGTAACTTTACACGGAATCCCAAACCTCTGGGACAAAAATGTTACTGCTTGGAGACATGTCCACAGTTTGTCAAGATAGCTTAAATATTTTCTGCAGTGTTTT